TATATTAAATACATCTTCAGAAGGAATGAAGATTCCTTCATTCATTCCTTCTGAAGATGTATTTAATATACGAAAGTACTTAAGGAAATTTCCTGTTTCATTTTCCTCCGTGGTCTGACATTGTCATATATATATATATATATATATATATATATATATATATATATATATATATATATATATATATATATATATATATATATAAAATATACATATATATATATGCAAACAAGCCTGAATGGTCCCCAGGACTATATACAACTGAAAACTCACACCCCAGTGAGTCACTTCTGGGGTGTGAGTTTTCAGTTGTATATAGTCCTGGGGACCATTCAGGCTTGTTTGCATTTGTGTTCCTCACGTGTGCCCCAAAGAATGAGGTGATTTGATAAAATGCTATGGCCAAGATTACCATCCAAGTGCCGGCGGGGAAGTGGTTCAAATAGCTTCGGCTATCACTTCCTTATGTCCGGTCGTGATGGTCAAGCGGATTAAGGCGTCCCTGTACATACCAGTTGCGTTGCTCCTGGCAGTATGGGTTCGAGTCACTTGTGGGGTGTGAGTTTTCAGTTATATATATATATATATATATATATATATATATATATATATATATATATATATATATATATATATATATATATATATATATATATATATGTGTGTGTGTGTGTGCTATACTAGGCATAGGAATATTTAAGTTTGGTTTTTAGCTTTGTTTTCTCCGGGCAATAAAATAAACAGCAACTAATTCGACAATTAGAAAGTAATTCTACTTTCTAATTGTCAATCACGTAGATATTTGTACGATCCTCCACATAGCTACAAAAAGTTTCATGTTATCAATAGGATGGGTTGATATGAATATGTCGGATATGAGAGTGAGAAGACTATTGAAGGGTCAGGCCGGTAGCCCCAGACTGCATCACTTACCGTGCTTCTTGTTTTATATATGTTGGTGCCGAGGGACATTACTTAGTGGCTGTTGCAGTTTTTGCTTTACTTTTGTCCATAAAGCGACTTCATGATGTTTTCTTAACTGTTTACAGGTAGGAACTGGAAACTTTTTGCCATCACCATTGCTGCAGACTCTAACTCTCAATGAAAACTTAATTGAGACTTTTGATAGTGATGCCCTAAACTTCATTTCATTGCTAGAACTTGATCTCAGCGAAAATTTGCTTACAGAAATGCCAAATATTAAAGGTAAGATGCTTTCAGAATTTTCCTCGTACATTATTCCCTAATGCTTGTTTAGCGAGCACCTAAATTTTCTTTTCCATGAGGCCAAGAGTCCTCATTAATTCAACTAGTAGTGGCTATACAAATTTAATATTTATAATATAGTTTGTGTACAGCTTGAAAGGTTCCAAAGATACACTTCACAATCATTCTCTCAATGACCCTTCAAAGGCTCAATTCTTGGTCGTCGGGGTGGAAGTTGGCATCGTTCGTTGGCATCGTTCGACTCTGCCAACGATGCTATGTAAATATTGGAAGGGCATGAAACTTGCATACGTATAATAACCCACTATACACGTGTACAGTGTATGTATCAGTGTGAATTACTAGTGGGCACAGGATATGCCAGCGTGAAACCCTAGTGCCCGCTGTATATGCCAGTGTGAAAGCCTAGCGGCCACAGTATGCGCTGGTATTCAAGCCTACTTACTGCTCGACAATTTAGATGGTACCATCACATAAATTAAAATTAAATTAAAGCACATCAATAAACTGGAAAAGGTGCAAAGGCGAGTTACAAAATGGCTTTCGGAACTGAAAAGTAAGTTATGAAGAGAGGCTGGAGACGTTAAATATGCCAGAACTAGAGGACAGAAGAAAAGAGGTGATATGATCACCACTTACAAAATAATAACAGGAATCGACCAAATTGACAGAGGAATTCCAGAAACCGGCAACCTCAAGAACAAGGTCATAGATTCACGATAAGGAAACAATGTTGCCAATTTTTACTATAAAGATTTTTTTTTTTTTTTTTTTTTTTTACAAACTGAGTGGTAGACGCTTGGAACAAGTGAGAAAACGGTGGGTGCCAAAACATTTAACGTTGTATACCAGTACTGGAAAGACGGGACACCACGAGCGTAGCTCTCATCCTGTAACTACACTAAGTTACAGGATGTAACTAAGGAAATTGCTTAGGAAATTACATGGCAGCATTCTCTTCATCGTTGAATCACGTTATGATCTATAACAGGAAGATTTATAACGGTTATGATCTATGATCAAGGGAGCCGGCGGCTGAGCAGATAGAACACTGGACGCGTGACCCTGTGGTCCCGGGTTCGATCCCGGGCGCCGGCGAGAAACAATGGTCAGAGTTTCTTTCACCCTGAAGCCCCTGTTACCTAGCAGTAAATAAATACCTGGGTGTTAGTCAGTTGTCATGGACTGCTTCCTGGGGGTGGAGGCCTGCCTGGTCGAGGACCGGGCCGCGGGGATACTAAGCCCTAAAATCATCTCCAGATAACCTCTCAAGATGCTTCACATTGAATTGTTTTCAAGTCCACTAGGGCTCACCATAGCCTATGCTACTTTCGAGTAGCTGAATCTAAAACAACAGCAATATCTTTGAATTTTATGTAAAGTAATTCTAACATACTTCCAGCATACGTGAGGCCTGTATATTTTTTATTTTCAAGAAATTATCACTGATGGAAAATATTTATTCTTTATCATTAACATTGATTTAAAAAATATGTGATATACGTTTAGGTGTTTTGAGTAGCAATGCTTGTATGTCTTACAGGGATGCAGAGTGGGGGCGAGGTGAATATAGGGTGTAACCCGTACCTGAAGCAGCTCAGTCAAATTAATACACAACCTTTGCTGGATAACGACGTGACGATCGTGGCTACAAATGTTTCTGTAAGTATTTTTTAACGCTCGTCATGCATACTGAAGTTACATTTTCAATAGAATTATAATTAGAGAATAAGCTTCAGTTTTACTTGGGCGTTCCATTCCTGATATCCTATCATGGAGGAAGTGTTGAGCAGGTGCTGAGCTTTACTCTGAACTAGTTTCACAACGACTAGCTACTAGTACACTAAAAAAAAACACACTGAAGGACATATTTTCTGTGATGCAAAGTGTGCTCTTTAAGCATTTGAACACTTGTCCTACAAAACTGATAGCAAAATTACCACAGTAGAAATTATTAACAACCTGATCGATGCACAGAATGAAGGGCTTAGAATGTCATTCGCATGGATACCATTTCACATAAATAACTCATCATGATGACACTGACATTGCTACCTTCCTACATACCTTGTGGTGGTTCCGAGGATCAACGTCCCCGCGGCCCGGTCTCTGATCAGGCCTGCTGGTTGGTGATCTCGTCAACCAAGCTCTTGGACGTGGCTGTTCGCAGCCTGACGTCTGAATCACAGTCTGGTTTATCTGGTACCCCACAGGAATTCGTTTCTTGAATGACGTGAACTGCGGAATACTGCAATAGGCAGGTTCGCCCCGCCACCACACTCCTCCGGCTTCTCAGCACCCAGCACCCTGATGCACGGTTGAAACCAATGCAACAATGATGAAATTGAGCTAGACATAGGTATCACCATCACTGTTATTAAGACAATATTGCTCCAAACATTCAGGTCTAATAGGAGAGAAATCAGACATTAAAGGCCTAAAAGTACCATTGAACAAAGTTATGATTTGTTTAGACTATTAAGCTGTGTATGGATAGCACTAAACGTCCACTAGACAATGCGACACAATAGGTGCCAGGATCAGGTTAGGCTACAATTACCTGTGGGAGCTTGCAACAAGACACGAATCTCCCAACCCTGAGCACTCCATGTGTAAACTCTGTGAGCGGGACTCGGTCATGATCTCACACACTACATTACTAAGTGTCCAGTCATTAGAACCTTCAGACCTTTCGGTATGAGGCACCTGGAGCTTTGTAATTATTTTATACACTCTCTTGTTCCAGATGATATCCTCATACGTCATACAAAGTTTGCAAGCACAGGCTACTTATCACAAGCCCCTCCTTGCAATTGACTAGATTGAATTATTCAGTATGGTCATAATTTTGTCATAATCATTTTGTCACATAAGGTCATAATCAGCATGGACCGAGCCGGCCGAGCGGACAGCACGCTGGACTTGTGATCCTGTGGTCCCGGGTCCGGTTTCTCCCGCAGGCGAGAAACAATGGGCAAAGTTTCTTTCACCCTATGCCCCTGTTACTTAGCAGTAAAATAGGTACCTGAGTGTTAGTTGTCACGGGCTGCTTTCTGAGGGTGGAGGCCTGGTCGAGGACCGGGCCGCGGGGACACTAAAAAAGCCCCGAAATCATCTCAAGATAACCTCAAGATAACCTATGGTCCCGCTAACCCGCTACACCCAAGGTAGATTTGACCTCACAAAGATAGCTTCACTTGAACAAACAAAACACTCACAAAATTAGAAAGCGAATAAAAAGTTAACATTTAACTTGGCTACCAATTGTTCTTGAATGTTTAGAGCACGAAATGTCAGTGTCGTAAGTCTGGTGAGAGACTAGCTGTTCTCCTAGCAGCTAGGAAGAAAATTAGTAGCATCTTATGTCATGCTGATAAATCCTCCTTCACATTATAGTTTAATATTAACTTCAAATCTTATAGTATTGAAGGAACCCATAGTTCGTGTGTCATGGGTTCTGTAGCACAGAGGTCTGCGTCTTCGACTTGCAACCGAGGAGCACGTGTTTCCTTTCACCTGATACCTTTGTTCACCCAGCAGTAAATACTGTAGGTACCTGTGAGTTAGGCAACTGTTGTGGGTTGCATCATGAAGGTCGGTAGTTGGCTAAGTGGAACCTTAATAAGATTAAATTTTGTCCCAGACAACTAGAATTGTGTGTGTATAGGTTGGATAAACAATAGGCCAGTATGTGGAAGTCTAGAAATGGCAGAAAACTTAGAAATATGAACTTTGGAGTCAGGAGAAATAAGCATTGTGTGGCAGAGTGGAGGATAATTGTCCTGCAAGAACTGTGCAAGATAATGGTAAAGGGAGTCGCCCTTCTTATAAAACGTTAGTAGTATGGAGCAGGTCAATAAAGACATATATATGAAGAGGCAAGGAGGTTCTTCTTTTATGGCCAGTCCGCCATTCTTGGGGCATCTCTGTAGAGACTGAACAGCTGAAGATACTGGTAATAGAATCCCAGGCTTAGTGTGATCCAAGAAGCCTAGGATAACAACACACTTACAATTTTCTGACCAAAACAAACAGCGTCAACTAATTGTGTTGGCTCTGTTGAATCCCAGTAATTATGGATGTGATTTCTCCAGGAATTCATTTCCCTTGAATACTTCTCCTAAATTCTCCCTCAACACTCCCTTCCGACTTCTAAATCCTGCAGAAGACTCCAAATTCCAAAATTCCTCAAGTAAACTCTGACAATAGAAACCATTACTAATTGCTACGTATCTTCCTGTCTTCCCCAGCTGGCGTGTGACTGCGACCTCCAGTGGCTCTTGGGGGAAAACGACGACGACATGTTGCTAACAAACACAGTTAAAGTCGACATCGATTGCTTAGAAGATGGCAATTATAGTACCATCAGGGACATTCTAAATAATTTTTGTTAAAAAAAAGTGAGAGTTGATGCATTAGAAAGTTAAATCCAAAGGATGGTGATACCTGGTTAAAGATCGGCAAGGATGTTCATCCGATGACACAATCTCCCCATTGAATTGAGAAAGTTGGAGTGTTGCAACAAGAAATCAGGAAAAGGTTAACCTATTATCAAACCATTTTGCTACTAAAATGCAGGTCCCTGATGCAGAACAACAGCCTCCACAGCTTGAGTGGTGCAGTGTCAAAATTGTCCAGCCCGTTCTCCCGAGTGTTCCCAACGTCACTAAACTGTTGTACTAAATTGCCCGAACCTAATCAACCAGCGGAGCCATGAACAGAAAACGGGTCATAATGTCAATTTCGCGAGCTGCTGCCATTTTTAGTACATCAGTTTTTGGTTTACATCACTTATCATCAGCAATGATCATAACTAGACTGCATGATATTGTACTTGGGGTCAGGCATAAGGCTGACTGGACAAAATCTAGCGCTCGGTGATGAAGTTAATATCCTAGGAATGAAGTCTGACACTAATGACCTTGACCTATCAGGTAAGACAGCAAACTAATGTGTATCTTCAAGCAACCCGTTCTCGCACTTTCTTACAGTAAATATTGACTTATTAAATACGTGCATATGTGACATACTAAACATACTAGTTTACCTTGAAAAGCTTCATAGAAAATAGCGATCTTACCCAACCTTCTTAGTATGTTAAGATAAGCATCTTATTACTTCGTAATTACAATTATTACTTAACCTATACCTATAATAGGTTAAGTAATAATTGTAATTACGAAGCAATAAGATGCTTATCTTTACATACTAAGAAGGTTAGGTAAGGTAGGTGTTTTCTATGAAGCTTTTCAAGGTAAACTAGTATGTTAAGTATGTCACATATGCACGTATTTAATAAGTCAATATTGACTATACGAAAGTGCGAGAACGGGTTGCTTCAAGACATATCTCATACCTTATCGACAGCAGAAGTTGCAAAATCTTACATGAAGCACAAGTTTTCTCCTATCTTGAGTATACACTACACTCCCGGGTGGGAGTGTAGTGTATTTATCTACGTCATAACCATTTATCTGAAATCTAGAAAAATTAATTAAAGTTATGCGAGAAGACTATACCTAGAGAGATGTCGGCTTTGCTGTTATGTATAAGGTCAATGTTTACAAGCTTTCTCACCTGGGCCGACTTCGTTATCAACCAGAAGTTGGCCATCACAATACAAGGCGCTCAGCCATCAACACACCACCTATCTTGAGATGATTAGCTTAGCGTCCCCGCGGCCCGGTCCTCGACTAGGCCTCCTTTTTGTTACACATTTCCAGGAGGCAGCCCGTCAATGTTCCTTTTCCTACCACCCCCTTATTTTGTTCTTATTTTGCTTTATTAGAGATTATTAAAAGTTACGTATAAATAGTTTTACAGATAGAGCCAGACAAAAATATAACTGCAATTATTTCCTCTTTCCGTGTGAATGTGCGAGTATCCTGAATTGCATTCACACACATGGTTTCCCATATGTGTGTATGAGTGTTTTCGAGATAACTTGAGAAGGACCGTGGGACGGATTTACTTTCTCCGTACTGGATAGTTTCACTCCTGCTTTCCCTCCATCCCATCACCCACCTTCCCTCCATCACTCAGAATTCCTCTCCTACCTTCCCTACATCTCTGTGAACCCCTGTATGTGCGCTCACCTAGATGTTCATGTAGGTTTGAACATCAACTCTTTTCGAGCTAATATTAATTAAATGCATTGACTTTTCCCCTCTCGTTATGTGTTCAGCTTCCATCTTTGTTCCCTCGTTAGTTTGTCTCGTGCTTGGAAAATTGCTTCTCTGTATACCTGGGTCTCGTATGTAGCGTCCGTAAGGCTTTGTGTAATTACCTAAGTGTAGTTAAAGGATTGGAGCTACGCTCGTGTTGTCCCGTCTTCCCAGAACTGTCACGCTTTGAAACCAGGCTGTTTTGGCCTCCACCACCTTCTCACTTGTTCCATTCACCTACCACTGCTAGCGTAACTGAACATTGTATAAGTATAAGTATTATATAAGCATAAGCTCCTCGCACAATGTTCTTTGTGTGGTCTTCAAGTGACAGTTTTCTATCCAGAACCACCCCTAGATGCCTTTTTTATCAAAATTCTTTCAAGTTTTTTTCACATAATTTTTTAGGTTGTGTGTATGCTATTTTTTCCTATTCCACATTCCATAACTGGGCATTTATTCACAATAACTTCCACTTGCCAAATGTTACTCCATACACTTATTAGGTCTTCTTGTATGGCATGACAATCGTGTAAGGTTCTTATCTAGTAGTTTGGCGTCATTAGCGAACGTGTTCATATAACTCTGTATTCCATTTGGTAGATTAATTGCTAGTTGCTTTGTAAGCCGAATCAGCTGTTTTGTAATTTTAGATTAAAATTACAAGAATGTTTGCGAGAATATATGTACATGTATTTTGTTTTATAAATATGAAAGAGAATCCTCATGTGTTTTACTATTTTTTTTTAATCTGACACTATACAAGCCATTGCCATATTTGTGGCAGGGAAATTATCGGTTTAATATACTCTGGCAACATCAGATATGGTTTATTACAGCCTTATTGGTGTTAAATAGTGCCCCTTCAATAGGTTAGCCTTCTCACTTGTATCTTGTCCACTTCAGCTCTCACTGGATGACGTAGCTTCACCAACTGGTGCTCCACATTTACCATCAATCTGTCCTCTCGAATAACACATCGCATTTTCGTGTCAAAATCCCCAACGGACACCATATAATGTACTATAAATCATAGCGACTCACAAACAGCCACGTTCTCTATGCCTGGATTCATGGTGTTAGGTTAGGTTTAGGCAATTTAGTGCATGTCTTGTGACGTGACAACTCTAGAGGACGGGCTGTGTCTTCAACACTGAATAGCACGTTCTATCTAGGTAAGGTAAGGTAATTATCAGGAGAAAGCACCAAGCCATTACGACTATATGGCACTTGGAAGGGATATGAGGATAAGGATTTAGGATAGGACGGAGGGGAAGAACGTGGTGCCCAATCACTTGGACGGTCGGGGATTGAACGCCGATTGACCTGCTTGAAACGAGACCGTCAGTCTACCGTCCAGCCAAAGAGGTTGGGCTACTCCGTTGGCAAGAGATACAAAAATTAGGTTTTGAAATGTGCTGTTCAATAAAATCCTTGGATAATATACTATTTTATATCGTTTGGCTTGTATTTTTTTGGTCTCGTACTGACATCTTGAATAATATCTAGGATTTTGTTTTGTGACACAGACGGTGCTAATAATTTTCCAGACTTGGCACCTTCTTTTGGATAATTAGTTGAAATGTGTTATAATACTCTTATACATAAGTCTCGTGTTGGTCAGCTTGGGAAGCGATTAAACGTTACAAGAAGTAGGCAACTGTTTGTTATTGTTGACGCCAGAGGCGGCTAGTTTATCGTGCAACCCATACTCGCTTTTCGCTTGTATCCGCTTCGGCCAGAAATTGCTGTATTCCAAAATATAAATTTATTTTCCAAATGAAACGAATTCAAAGCGGCAAATTTTGGGCCCTCTGGTAGGTTAGGAGAGTAGTATGTTCTCCTAATGTTTCAAAACGTCATGAAAACTGTTAATTTAAACTGTCCATTTCTTAACCTAACAAAGCCAGAGGACTCAAAACAGAAAACGGGACAGTATGTAACTTTCCGCTTCCATTTTTTATTGCGACAATTTTTAGCTTTAACGTCGCTTTTCGCTGGTATGCGCGCTATTTGTAAGAGGGCGGATTGTTCACATACCCATTGTACCCTGTTGTAAATAAATATTAGTGTTATTAATTATAATAAATAATTGTAAATATTTTGAAATAAGTGTTTGTTCTTTGAACCCATCTTGAACCGTTAGTTCCACTGCATATGTGTTCTAACAGTTTAACTGATACAACGTTATTCTTATTATCAGGCAGAAGCCTCATAAGATTCATTTCAAATATTCCATCTTGAATGCTGCGCATAATTAATTCTTTCCACATATTGAGAATTTTGGTGGTTATTGAACAGCCAAATATAACTGAGGGCTTTATTTTGCATTTTTTTAATCTATCAATAATTTTAATAATAATAATTCATTGTGTCGGGGAGGAGGTAGCCAGTGATTATTTACCAGAGGGGCCCCTAACATTCTAGTGGCCTCGATGAGGACAGGAAGCCGGCGGCTTGTCAAAGGTCCCCCTAACCGAGTTACTGACCCCGCCCCAGGATGCAACCCTACATCAAGCCGAGTATGTTGTTGTTGTTATAGATTCAGCTACTCGGAACAAGTTCCAAATAGCACGGGCTATGATGAGCCCGTAACTTACCTGGCACAGGAGCGGGGCAAATAGTACCGGCTATGGTGAGCCCGTAGTGGACTTACCTGGCACAGGAGCGGTGCCGTCTGTGTGTGAAGCCGACTAACTCCTGGGTACCTATATACTGTTAGCTGAACAGGGGAATGAGATTATAGGAAACCTAAAATTGTCATCCACACTTCCGTGGAAATAAATATTCCATTCACCTGGGCTCTAGGAGACTCGAATCGTGGACCCCACGAGTGAGGACTACTCAATAGCTCGGTCCATAGAATTTCTGCCTCACACGTGGGGCCCACGGTTCGAGTCTCCTAGTGCTCGGGTGACTGGAATATAGGATTGTTGTTGTTGTTGTTGGATTGTTGAGATCTAGGAGGGAGGGACTTATCAGGGGAAAGTACTTAGCCATTACGACTAGTGCTTTCTAACCTAACCTAACCTGTTCACCCGTATTCCAGGATATGAACCCGGGATCCTCAATTGAAATTCAAGAACGAACCGACTGTACTACCAGGATGAAGTGGTAAGTGGATGAAGTGAATATATACTTCATGAAGTGGGATATTCATCTCCGTGTAAATGTCTCTGTGAACATTGTTTATGGCCTATATAGCTGATTAAAACATTTAAATTTGTATTGGATTCCAGTATGAATTTAAGCTTTCTGTTATGTATTATAGCTTACAAGGATTGACGTGAGAAACTCATTTTGATTTCTGAGCTAAAAACCTCAGAGATTGTTTGTCTTAATATTCTAAACTGTTTAAATTGTAGAAGTTAGAGGTCGAGACGTTCTGTATAAATTTAGAGAAGTTACAGATTATAGTGAGTTGTACGTTTTCTCTTAAAAACATTTAGAACATATTCGGAAACACTGCAATACTTTCCTCCATCTTACAAAACGTTTATATTATTGCTTATTAAATTGACATTGGGCATATTCTGCAACAAATACCATGGAAATTATCTCATTAGTTTTTGCAGATGCGTACAATTAGAAATGTAAAGAAAATGGAAATTCACGTTTGAATGCTTTTTAATACTGCTAATCATAAACATTTGGAGAACCAGTAATAAAAATAAATACACCCATTGCAGTAGGTAACGCAGTCTCTTTAATATAGTAAATTAGAAAATATAATAAAAAGATGAGCAAATAGGTGAGGTGAGAAGTGAGAATAGGCGAGGAGAGTCGAGGGCGCGACTGGCCATCCGAACACACACTGTTGTTGTTTTGGTGTGGGAGTCTGGTCGGGCTGATAGTGGCTCTGGCCCCAGTTATTCCCAAGTTATTACGGAACTCGGCGGTAAGAACCACTGTTCTATGTGCTAGAATGTCCTTTAATTACCAGGCTGTGGTTTGGTAGTCCTGCCGAGGCGATGTGGGGTCGGCGGAAGGTGTTTAGTTGGCTAAAACGAAGCCTCTTCATCGCCGTAGATTTTCACGGCTGAGGATTTTGGGGTTTGGGAGTGAATTTACGAGAGTTCTCTCACCTTGATATTATGTTGTTAGCTGCATTATCAAGCGTGGAGCGCGTGTATATTAATGCTAAAGAGGAACTGTGGGTGTTTTGAGCGAGGCAGTAGCCTGTGGTGGTGGGGAAGTGGAAAGTGAGCGGCCAGTGTCTTTGTGCTCACTCGACTCTGAAAGTGAAAGTCTGAGTAACATTTCTCATGGAGAGCTTTTGCTTTCTATGCCTCGCAGGTAGTCAGCAGGTGTGTCGAGTGTGTAGCAGGCATGTGTGGCAACAAGCGTGTCTGTTAGCTTTAAAGAGTGCATTAGCTGCTTCTAACAATGTCATATATTCCTTAGAATGTAGTTTCCTTCTAACAATGTCATATGTACCTTAGAATGTAGTTTCCGTACATATATAATATCTTGTATGGTAAAGGTAAATTAGATAGCCATTAAAATAATTTGTTTTTATGTCAGCTTTTATCAACATGTTACAAAGACAGTCCTAAATTATAAAGTAAATGGAAGCTATCAACTTATAGCATTAGTGAGGAAGCATTTTATGGTATTCCTAAAGAAAATATTATCACTGTTTTTCATTGCATTGCAAAAAAAAATAGTTATTGATACCTTATTTGCCTTTGAAAGTAATAATGACTTTGTCAAATTAGAAACAAAAAGTTGCAAGAGGAACTGGTGATAGATGAGTATAGTCAACACTCATGGTAATTGTTGCAATTGAAATTGGTGTTAGATATAAGGAGATATAAGGATACAAATGTCAATATTACAAGTCAACTTTTTACCAACAAGGTAAAAAGTAAAATACAAGGTAAGTAAAGTATATTGTTACAATGTGGGTATCCTCATAATAAATTAGAAAACACAATACAGTTAGCAAACTGAAGTTAAGAACCAAAAGTCAAGGAGAGTAGAGGGTACAACAGGCCATCCAAACACCCACACTGTTGTTGTTTGGGTGTAGGGGAGTCTGGTAGGATGGGGCTGATAGTGGCACAGCTCCACAGTTATTCTCAAGTTATTATGAAACATGAATGTGATTACAACCAGACTAGGAATTTTGCACACATTTCTAACGTGTAGTGAGGCTCTCATTGGAGCGAGAGAAACTCGAACAGCTTGGTATAAATTTTCCAAACTTCCTAAAATTACAATATTGATATTTGCCTTGCAATTCACTACATAAAACAAATAGGTATTGAAACTTTTTATTAAGCCATCTTAATAAATTCAAACAATAATAACTGTTCTTTGACTGACCTGGTAATTCTTGGTAGTGGATGATCACCTGATCTCAGCATTAAGTATCAAGCTTGAATTCTATGATACCTTACTGCCTACCCATTTACTTATGAATATGGTTGGTGCAGGAGTTTGAGGTAGAAATTGTACCAACATTAGCCTAGTGCTCTTAAGTTAAAGGTACTCGGCAACTACTGCTAGGTTTTGTGCAACTGAAAAGCTGTTAATAGAATGTAAAAGTTATATGGCTAATTTGCCTTTCTGTCTGTTATACTTGCTCAGATTTCTGTTGTATAGAACATAAGTAAATTAAATGCTAAGTGATCAGACATTAAACCTTTCACTGACAATCTATGAAATAATATTTCAGCAAAGTGTAAAAAAGTAGGTAAAAATATTTTTGTTTCATATTTTTATTGCATTTCTAGTAGGAAAATTACCTGTTATTTTGATCTTTGCCATTAGAAATGCTTTTATTTTTCTCCATGATGCCTCCCCCCAAAAATTGATCTGTTAGTAGAAAATATGGTACAGTATACATAACTTGGATATCGGGCATTAGTGCATAGAATCTCATAATCATAAGTTTATTTTCCATAGATGTTCATTTTCTTAGACTGGACAGGACTTTTCGATTTATATTAAATTTCTAATAAGAAAAAATTATCTTTCTGTAGAGACCATTTTTTAAGTTCATTATACAGTATAGGCTTAATATAAAAAATGGCTCAAATACCTTAATACCAGACCATTAGGGTGAATTTAACAGTGCCCAGTAAGTCCCTGTGGTGAAGTGGGTAAGACTCTTGCATGGCATTTCGCGAGCGCTTTGGCCTGGGTTCGTATCCTGGCCTGGGAGGATTTACATGGCGCCAATCCTTAACTGTAGCCTCTGTTCACCCAGCTGTGAATGGGTACCTGGTTGTTAAACGATTCAGTGGGTCATATTCTGGGGAAAATTAGGATTAAAGACTTGCCCAAAATGCTGGCCCAGGGATGCCTTTCTTGAATCATACTCATATGATTCAACTGTATCCAGTTAACATTTGGTTTCATATTATGTAATACAATATTGAGTGCAAATTAATTAAATAATGATGGTTGGTTTTATAATTAAGGTTCTACAAATGTGATGGGTAGCCAGTAGCAGAGATACTGTATTCCATTACCTTAGTTCATTTATTATGTTTATTTAAACGTTAACATATTTCACGGTTTATTTATCTTCTTTTTGTGCTTGGAGCAGTTTGTGCCTTTGCGAAGCTGGTAACTGTTGCTCTTGTATGGAACTAATGTATATTGCTGTAGCATAGACTTAATAAATATTATTAACAATTTTAATTTCTCTTTCTCTCTCTTTTCAGATGGATATTAAATGAAAGATTTTCTGGACAAAAATGGTGAATGACTGTTTGTGTCAGGCTCTGCAATGGAAAGCAGGTAGTGCAACAAAATATATTTGTCGAGCTAGGAACTAAGTTCTGACCACTGTGAGAGCGGAAAATATATACTGTACCATAGTTTATTTTTTAAAGAGTTTTAAATCTCTGGATGGTTTGCTTCAAATAGCTGCTGAAGCAAGGCAGAACAGATGAATATTTATCAGATATCATCAACTGCATGAACGGCATTTAAATATGATATCAATGAAACACAGTTCATCATTTTTGGTAACATGTTTGCCTCCAGCATCGAGGAACTGCGAAGTGTAAATTGGAAACTGGAGACAAAGTTTACAGTGGTATAGCATAACACACTCACACTCATATAATTACACTTTCTCACAAGTGTGTAATTTTGGGGATTTTCTCTTTATTATTTTATTATTGTTTATATATTGAGAACAGTTATTGTTTAGTTCATTGCAAATAGATTATAAAATTACATTCTCTTAAGCTTTTTTTTTTTTGTCTTGAAGAATAACTTGGTTGTCATTTTTTATTGGAGTCTTAAGTCACAATTTAACTTTTTAACAGCCTGTGACACCCACACAGTTCTGAGAACAACATTATTAGGAACACTTGCATTTACTATAATTACCAAGAAAAAAGAAAATCCTCATCATCATTAGGAGTTTTCGCTCACATACACTGGCACTCGGTATTACGCTGAACTGTCCGACATCATTTTGGGGTGAAGTAGAAAATCAGCAGTGCTACTGCCATCACCATGACGCTTAGTGCAGAGTACCAATGGTAAGTACCTACAATACTATATATTGTTTGTTTTTATATCTAGTTAGATGGAAGGTAGTGTAGATTATGCATGGTCAGCTTCAAGAGTTTTCTTCTTTCTCAGTCATGTTTGGGGAAAGGATTACCTGATGTTGGACTTATCAATGAGTCCGTTGCTAGTCATAGCCATAGGCCCATATTTTTTGAATGTACATAACAAATTATTGAATGAAGAATGAGTGGTTTACAATGTTATGGTCTGATACATATTCAGTATTGACTCTTTTTGCAGTACAATGCATTACATTGTTTTGCTGTTCTTCCAGGAGGATGCATAATTAGTATATTTTTTACCAACCAGCATGATGAAAAAAAAAGTGTGATATTTTTGTTAATGGTTTGTTGTAGTATGATGGCAGTGGATCAGTGTGATGCTGTTTAGTATGGAATATATATCAAATAGAGGGGTGTCATTTTGAGTAGTTTTAATAATCCTCACAAACCTTTTCCTATAATTTCTGTACTGATGCCTTGCAACCTCATGTCATTGGGAAATAGGGATTGAGGTTAATAACTCGTGTGTATTGCAGGAAGCTATAATTAATGCTAATTTTGTATTTGACATGTCATCAACTCACAATGGGGAATCCTAGTTTCAATTCCCAGGTAGAGCAAAAAATGGTTGGGGACATTTCCTATCACCAGATGCCTCTTTTTTTTTTTCACCTAGCAGTAGATGGGTACTTTAGAGTTAGACAGCCGTTGTAGATTGTAACCTGGGGAAGATCAATACTGTAGTTCGAGTTTCATGGACCTCAATAACCCAATGTACAGGCTTCCAGACCATAACAACAGGAACTATACTTGTGGATGATAAGATCATTTGGCATTATAGTAAATAATTTATTCGTGAAATCTGATGTAACTAAAAGTTTTGTAATTATTTTTCATGTGATTACAGCATAATACAAGCAACAGATGACTGTAGTTTACCAATTGCCACATAATTGCAAATGTTGCTAGTACTGTGTTTAGAAATTTTGACTTTTAGTGTATTTGGAGCTGATTTACTGTACGTTATTTATTTAACCACAGAATTGGAGTTCCCTCCACCCCAACACACTCTTTCTTCCACCCCCCAACACACACACTTCCCTCCTGACAGTTGAGTGGACAGCACCCGGGATTCGTAGTCCTGAGGGTTCCGGGTTTGATCCCCGGTGGAGGCGGAAACAAGTGGGCAGAGTTTCTTTCACCCTGATGCACTTGTTCACCTAGAAGTAAATAAGTACCTGAAACTTAGACAACTGCTACGGGCTGCTTCCTGGGGATGTGTAACAAAAAGGAGGCCTGGTCAAGGACTGAGCTGAGGGGACGCTACACCTCAAAATCATCTCAAGATAATCTTGAGATAGATCATTAGTCCTTAAAATAGCAACACATCATGTAATTTGAGTTTTTTTGGTTAGAAAAATTATCTTCTAAACCCTGACTTTTATGATGTTGGTTCTCGGGTTGATTAATAATTTAACTACAGTAGTTCCATGACAATTAGGCCATTGATTCACTGGTGATACTTCAACATAGTGCTGTAATAATTTGGTTATGTATTCAGTACTGTATTAATAAAGTGGGACATAAGAGGCAAAAATTACAACATTGTTTAAATAATGCTTCAACAAAATATGCTTTAACTAAAAACCAACCTGTTTTATACAGAACATAATTGGATTTTTTTATTTTTTAAATCTCTAGCACTCTGTGGATTTTACTTGATTGGTGTTTTGCTTTTTGTGAAGGGTAGTATTGTATTGTGCTGCTATTGAATTTTCCAATACAGTATAATATATACTAGTTTTGCATATACTGTACAGTACAGTGTATTAAAATTCTAAGTTATAACTATGGACTTGTAAAGGAGGCAGGTTGTCAGTCATGGTGGCTAGCTGTGCATGACTTGACTGTAGCGTGTGTTATCTCTGCTGATGCAACTGATAATGAATCATGAATCTAAAGGCACTTGCAGTAGCATACCTGCCCTTGTGGGTAATCTGAGCATTTGTGGTTTTGCTAACATAAAATTCACAGATAACGGGATTTGTAAGTGTTCCTTAATTAGGGTTCAGTGGTGATTATATCCATTCAGATCTATTGTTCTTCAGTAAAAGGTAATTCTGTAGAAGTGGGCATCATGTCTTTATTTTTTAGATGTGTATTGTGTTTATATACACAGTACTGGTTTCACTTCTAATTTGTTCAAGTATTTTACACTCAATTTCATTGTTGTTCTTGGTTACAATACCACATTGAAGATTAAGACATACCTGCTGTCCATATTATCAAGTTTCTTCAAGATCTTAAAGACTTTTCTCATAACACAATGAATTCTATACTGGTATTTACAGAATAAAGTTATTTTAAATCTTTCCTTTTTTTTTTTTTTGTCTTTGTTCATTCATCATCATCTTTGGGAAACCAAAATTGTACACATTATGTGTGTGGTTTATTGGCATTTTATTTTAAAGGCGTCTTGCAATAGCACCAGGTACTCATGTTTGCTTTGTGACTTGCAGATATACTGTGCTTTGCTTGTGCATTTGGGATAGTCACTGATTTTGGTGTAATTCTGTTACCTCCCTCTCTCTCTCTCTCTCTCTCTCTCTTTCTTTTTACTTTCTTTAATGTAATTCTAAGCATTGGGTGACCTTCCTCCACCCATGCTAAATAAACCTGGTTTTGGAACTTGATAGCAATTTCACTTAAGAACTCCCTTGAATGGGTTTACTCATATATACTGTCCCTATGTATACACTGTGAATAGATAACTTGTCTTTGCGAGGTAATAGTCCATAAAAAAAACTGCCACTATTGTTAAATTGTAGTCTTGATTTCGTAGCTATTGTTTGGCTAGATTCCATTGGCTGTTAATTTGGGTCTTGGATTTTTCATGGATCAATTAAAGGGGGTCCTGTTCCTTAATGCTTTTTAAATTAAGGTTCCAGAAAGCGGACATGTTTCTGCGTATCCATTACCTTTGATCTTTCCATGGTAACCTTGGTGCGTGAATGTGCACCCTAACCTGAAGACTGAATATCATGCAGTATGTTGAACTTTAAAGTTTAATGTCGTTGTGCAGTGCAGTCCAATGTATGTTCAGTAGTTGACCTGTGATATTTGTTTATTGACCTTGTGTTGGCTCTGGGGATCACTGCAAATGTGGCATCTTTTGAGGCTGATGTAATCAAATTGAGAATTATTGTTTGTTTTGGTTCAAGTTTACCTGATGCTGTTGTTTTGCTGCAAGTTTTTTTGTTTGTAAATTATGCCTAGGATTCATTTTAGTAATGCCGAAAGGTTTTTAACCCCATAACACTTCCTGTACTTTTTGTTGTCCCGAATCTCTGGCCTCAAAGTTTGAGTACCAAGGAAACATAGCTTTTGTAAATCACTTTATGAAGCTGGGTAAAGATGAAATTGTGCAGCGCAAGTCCTTCATGTGTCCTTCACTAACAAATTTTGCTCGGTGGCTCTGACTTTTGATACAGGTAACAGTACCATTACTCAAACCACTTGGACTGGTCAGCCTCGGTTCATGCAGGCCACTGTTTGATACCCTGTGGTTCAGTTGGTTCGACACTGTTCTTTCCCTCTGTTGTATCTTCAGATCCAATTCCTCATATCCCTTCCATGTCTTATACAGTTGTACAGGCTTTCTCCTAGTGATTTACTTTACTGAACCATTACTCAAAATACTGTAACTTGTGCCAATTTTTTTTGCTTACTGCTCTTTTGTTATTTCTGATGCAGTAGATTAAGTTTACTGTGTTAAAAATGCATGTAGCTTCCAGGGAAATCTACATGCATTTTAAACAGCCTGGTTGACCAGACTACCAACTGGGAGGCCTGGTTGGAGACAGGACCACGGGGTCGTTTATCCCCGGAAGTTACACATGGTTGCCACACAGTAGCTTCTGATTGTGGTGTAAAATATTTGATTAGCTTAAACACAATACTGTAAATCAAGATATGTCATCATTTCAGTTTGCAAAATTGTTATCTGTTATTCATTTCATGAAAATATTCTCTATAAACTTGGTAACAGAATTGTCGGAATAGCCGGGGTGTCTGAATGTTGCTGGCACAGGTCTCCATGACTATGGGTCCTAATCAGGTACTTCCTCCTACAGATAAAGAGTAACTGTCGGTAGTGATGTTGCTTGGGAAATTAATGTTACCACATTCATCAGAGTTAATCATAATTTATACTGTACCAACTTTGTGACCAGTCTTTAGCATGATGTAAACTTCATTGAAGTGAAAAACTGACATTTAGAATGCAAATCAACCATTTTTATTTTTTAGGAAGTTGAGCATTAATTGTAGACACATTAATGTTGGAGAAAGTTGGGACTATGGAACATTGAATAAATAATCTTCAGTTCATGCAAGATTGTCATCCTAATGTGTACTTTAGAGATTTCACAATGATGTCGCCAAAAATTGTGAATTATGTAAATTATTAAAAAAAATTAGTGTGTGCATGTAAGAATAGTGTGCATGTACTCGTCTGTTTGTGCCTGCAAGATTAAGCTTTACCTCTTAGAGCCATACTTTCCAGTCTCTGGTTGTCTAATGCAATAACTCCTGACCTATTTTTCTGACACATCTACTTTTGCAATTATGAATGGAGTTAACTTAACAATGTGCTCATTTAGTTCATTAAGTTTTCCTACTACTTTTATGCAAAAGGGAAAGCATTTTCTAACATCTCTGTTGCTCATCATTTCAGCAAGCTTCCATCCATGCCCTCTTGTTCTATGGGTATTTATAGTAAACATCCCCCCCTCCCATTTTTCCCCAAAACTGCCCCCCCCCGCCCCTCTCAGTATTTTGTACATATGAACAAATCCACAAGGGCCGTGATGAGGATTCAAACCTATGTCCGGGATGATCGCATGTCGTGGCGCTGTCAGCTATTGCATGACTGGGATCATCCTGGACGTAGGTTCAAACCCTCTTCA